TAAATATATATATAAAAAAAAAATATAAATAATAAAAATGCAATGGAGAAAGGAAGGTGAGGATTACTTTTTTTTTTACCAAAGACTCAATACCACTATCTCTAGAAGCTTAATGAAAGTTGAACCATGCCATCCAGTAGCTGGTTTGATAGCACTTGATAACCTGTATATTTAATATAATTGACAGACAATTTTTGTTAATGTGGTAAGCTGCTGGGAAAGAACAGCTGGAACATGCACATAATATATATACAGACATAACTCACAAACATCATGACAAAAACCAAGTGAATGAACTCTGAGCAACTATATTGATGCTAACAGTGGAAGTTTTAAAGGTGTAGAATATTTACTTCACATATTATTTTCTTAAAAAGCTTGTTGCCACCACATATATCTCCAACACTAGGCACACATAATAAAATGTTCACCATGTTTTGACAAAAGTACTAAAAAAACAGTTTTAAATTAGCATATTTAGGTCTTAAATTATTACAGATACTAATATTTATGACCAATAAATTCTGGTGAGAGGTTTAATAACATTCATATATTTATAACAAAGTTGACTATCATTAACTTGTCAATACCTACCATCTGTTGCATGATTTTAAAAGGGAGCGAGGGTTAAACAGACAGCGTATATTGTCTCATAAATATTAATAACAAATCTGCCACCTATATACACAATAATAAAGAGAGCATATTCACTTTATTAAGGTAAAATGCAATAACTTACGTGTGTCATCCCGTTGACCGCATACCCGGAGTTAATAAACCCCTGTAAAAAACACAAGAACAGAACTTTGCTTTTCACTATCTACTGAATAATGCATTTATAGTTCACTGTAGCCCAACACTTAGACCTTCAAACTTGCAGGTACATGAATAAACTCATTTACTTTTGATTATTAAAAAAATAAAGCTACAACAAGATTGTTTAATCAACTGATATTTTAAGCTGAACAAACACATAATTCAATAAGAGTAAGAAAGGAAACCAGAGAGTGAAGGATATTCAGCAAACTGATTACTTCATGTACTAAAGTATTTTTGGCTTTCAAAGAAGCCATCTTTGCTCCAACTTTTTGAATCCAGTAGAACCTGTACAGTTTATATCAAATTAAAAATTAAAATTAAAAACATATTTTTACTTTTATTATAAAAGTTCTTCTCATACTTTAAAACAATAAAACTATTGTCCATAACAAATCCTGATATGTTTGTGTATTTCTTCTAACACCAAACACATTTTTTCTAATGAAAGTTGTTGACAGCAATGATGGTAAACAGCCAAGCTGGAACTGATGAAAGTAAATGGATGCACAGTAATATCTTGTAAACCCTCCAAACTAAAGGCAGTTGCAGCTTGTACATTTGTCCATTTATACAAAAGCAAACATTCAATTTTTTATTATTTCATAGATACTTTAAAGATGTTATGTAAGAACTGATTTGTTTTATATAAAAATTACAATCAAGCTATCTTAAAAATGACAACATCTCACTTTAACTGAGAACATTACCATAAACAGCAGATAGTGAACAGGGTTGAACATAAAATGTACAAGATAAATAAAAAATCAAGAATTTAAAAAGCTGCAAATAAGGATAGTAAAAGAACTAAGCAAACAAGGCTGGAGATACCTTTAACATTATTTACTCAAACTACAAATCCCTATCTTGATTCCACCAAATGTAATTCTAGGTAACAGCATTGAGCCCAAATAGGGGCTTGTAGTTTAGAATTACATTTGTTGGAGTTAAAGTAGGGTTTTGTAGTTTGAGTGAATAATATATATACAGTATTTCAAGCCTTGTTTGCTTACTTTTTTTATGATCCCTACCTATTTGCAGGCTTTCTATTTCCCAATTTTTTTATTTATCTTGTTTGCCGGCTTTTTATATGCTTAACTACGGGCAAAGGATTACTTGATATGGTAGCAAACTTTATACATTGTAATAATAATAAACATAGCTTGTAGCCAGCTGATATGGTTTATAATGATTTACTGTAATTATTGACTACTTAATCACACTAGTTCAAGATAAAAAATGTTCAGCTGCAGCTGGAGATTGTCATGGAGATTTGTTTGAGATAATAGTGAACATTTATAGTTTCTGTATAACTAAATTCTATATATATAATGCACTATACTAAGATACAACCTCGACTAAGCACGTATACATATTTTCCAGTATAAAAGCAGCCTTTTCAAATAAAATATATATGTCTAAAATGTTGCTTTACATAAACCTTCATGTCTTTTAAAGGAATCATTCTATAAATGTGTTTAATAAAATTTAATATTGTGTAGTGATTTTTTTTTTACTCCTTCACTTCTATACATAATATAGGGGTTAGCACCCTAAAGACACCAAATGTTATAGTGTACAAAGC